TCTTATACTCTACATGTTTATGAACGGGGGCGACACCCCTGTTTTATCACCCGATTCAGCTTCCGGTGCAAGCATATTAAGCCAGCAGAGAGAAGCGTTTGGAGTCCTCAACAGCACCAAATATGGTGATTTCTCTCCAAAGGAAAAGAAGGAGGGTCTACCGGGAGACCCCCCATGGGAGGCACCGCGCTATTTGAACGTGACGGGATTTCGCGAGAAGGATGGATACGCTTGGGAGGATCTCGAATATTTCAAAACTCGTTGCCTTCAGTGGAGCAAGAATGCATACCCACCACAGGAAGGGGCCAAAGATTGGTGGGATCATGGCATCGTCAAGCAGACATGGCAAAACGTTACCGGTGCGGTGCAGGGAAAGTATGTGCGCCGCCAGGGCTCGGTTGTGAAGACGGCGGCTGACTACAATCTCACCGCCATTGCCCCGGATGTTGAATGGCCAGAAGATCATCATCATGGGTGGGGATGGAATATTACCGGATCTGAAGGCACAGTCATTTTCAGGTTGAAAGAGGGAGATGATGAGGAGAAATCCTACTACGAGAAGCTAGAAAAGTCTCGTGGCGGTCCCTTTGTGCATCCGGCGAGCCTAGCACGCGAGACAACAGGCGTGCTCACTTTACAGGACGGGGGCAGAAGGTTGTCTTCTATTCACCTGAAAGTAAACGGCGTCCATTGGCCATTACAGGGCTCCATGCTCCTCACCACAACGAGCGAAAAGTTCTTTGGTATCTTTGGTCTGCCGCATTTCGCTCCTGACGCCGACTTTTTCCGTACAAGTCAAGGGCTCCTGAATCAAACCGTGGATAGAGTTCTTCGGAAAAGGGAGCAAAGAAGGTTCAGCAACCCAACCATGGCTTGGAGCTCGGTGGTGGAGGATGAAGACGAGACGCTGCCACACTGCGAATATATCGTGTACCTGCAGCTGTATCCACTTGAACAGCAGTACTTGGGCGGCAATCCCAGGCTGATGGATGTGGGCAGCTCTGCTGTTCAACTGTTGGAAAAAGAGCTCCGGTTTCCCACTGGAAGACCGAGTAAGGGAACGCCGGATCTTCACATGTCTATGGTTGCCTGGTCTCCCGACTGCTCATATTATATCGAGTCAAAGGGGCCTCCTCTATTTCCATCAGACGAAGGGCATCATCTGGTCGGTGTGTTAGAGCAGGTGTACACCTCTAGGGCCCAGTATTCGCTGGTCTTGTGGCTGTTTGCATTCGTCGGACAGGTCTACCTTTTGAAGATGCAGATCAAGGAGTCACCAACGCCCTCGACTCTCAGCCGTCTCAGTACCAATACCATATTCATCATGGTCCTGGTTGACATTATAATCCTCACGGGCTCGCTGGGATGGGCGTTTCAAGCCATCGCTACCTTTCCCTCTAGCATGCTTCTCGCCTTTGCCAGTTTCATGTCGGCATCAATTGGGGCGGGATTTTTGGGAAGTATTCAGCAAAACAATCCAGAGAGGAGAGCCCGTGAACGCGAGCGAGAACAAACGCTCAATAACAGCAATACTGCCAATAATGCCACCAATGCCAATAATGCGCCTCCACCCACCGTACAAGCTTCCACCGATACTCTCCCCTTACCTGCCACAGCCGTGCCTCAGCGGCCTTCCTCTCCACCAATCATCATACCATCAGACCAAGATATTGACGCCGAGATTGCCGAACAAACAGCAGCAGCAGCAGGTGCGGCGGGTCGCCCACCTCCGCCCGGTAACCCAGCCAGGATGATGGGCATAACATTTGTTGCCACAAGCCTGGTATTCCTGGTCTTGACGAGCGCTGCACTCAACTGGGCGCCTCGACCTCGGACTATATATATCACCATTGTCACATTCCTGTACTTTTCTCTGTGGTGGCCTCAAATCTGGCGCAACGCACGACGGGCGTCTAGGAAATCGTTTTCGTGGTCGTTTATCGTCGGTCAGTCTCTTTGTAGACTGGTTCCGTTTGCTTATGTTTATCTTTACGAAGACAACATTTTGTTTGCGGAGGTTGATCCGACTACTTTTGCGTTTTTGATGGGGTGGGTTTGGTTGCAGTGGTGCGTTATGGCTGCGCAGTCGGTTTGGGAACCAAGGTTGGGAATACCGTTTCCCAGGGGGTGGATGCCTGAGGTTTGGGATTATCACATGATATTGAGGCAGGAGGATGTCGAGAGCGGAGCGATATTGATTGGGTCAGATGTTGGGGAGGTTGGGGGAAGTTTGAGGGAAAAGTCAAAGGAGTTGAAGCAGAGGGGGATGACGCTCAGGAGCATCGATTGTGCTATCTGCAGGGAAGAAATGTTTGTTCCTGTGGTTATGGCTGGGAGGGAGGATCCGAGCTGGAGCATGGCGGATATGATGGAGAGGAAGCAGTACATGATTACGCCTTGTAGGCACATGTTTCATACGAAATGTTTGGAACAGTGGTTTAGGAAGCGGTTGGCTTGTCCTATTTGTAGGGAGGATTTACAGCCTTTGTAGTTTTTTGTAATTGGATATCTTTCAAACGAATTGAGTTGAACACATATCATTGATAAAAAACAAGGTGAACTAAAACCTGAATGAAAGCTATTAAAGATGAAAACGCCTAAGGACCAGCAACATCAACAGTAGCCTTCTTGGCTCTCTCGCCGTAAGCCTTGGTGGCATAATCACCACCATGAACAATCAGATCCTCGGGCTTGTAATCAAACTTGCCAGAGAGGTAACTCTCGAGAATGGCCTTGGTGCCTGCAGCATAACGCTTCTGAGCATCAAGAGAAGTACCAGACATGTGAGGGACCATGGCATTGCCACCGCCAAAGGGGTTCTTGGCAGTGCGAAGAACATGGTCCGCGGGAGCAGGCTGAGGGAACCAGACATCACCACCATAACCTCTGAGGTGTCCAGACTTGAGTGCCTCTGCGACATCTTCCTTGACAACAATAGCCCCACGAGCCGTATTGATCAACCAAGAACCTATTTTTTATCATCAGCAAGAACCATCCAATTTCTCTTTTGTGTGAGGAAAAACTTACCAGGCTTCATCTTTGCAATCAACTCCTTATTAAACAACCCCTTTGTCTTTTCATGCAAAGGACAATTGATCGTAACCACGTCACTCTGCGCCAAAAGTTCCTCCAAAGTATCAACCCTTCTACATCCAATCTCCTTCTCCTTCTCAGCAGACAGAGGCTGATAATCATAGTATAACAACTCCTTACAATCAAACGCCTTGAGTCTTCTCAAAACTCTCTCACCAATGCGACCGACGGCAACAGTCCCCACAACCTTCCCCTCTAAATCATATTCATTCTTCGCAGCTTCCGCAACGTCCCATTTACCAGCTTCAATCATCTCATGAGCAGGAACAAAGTTTCTGACAAGGACCAAAATAGTCATTACGACGTGTTCTGCGACGGAAACGACGTTTGAGCCGGTTACTTCTGCGACGGTTATGCCTCCGTTTGTTTGGTTTGCTGCGTTTAAGTCGACATGATCGGAACCGATACCGGCTGTGATGGCAAGTTTAAGCTTCTTGGCTTTTGCGAGACGGTCGGCGGTTAGATAGCCTGGGTGGAAGGGAGTGGTGATGATTACTTCTGCGTCGACTAGTTCTTTGTCAAAGGTTGAATCGGGTCCTTCTTTGTCGGAGGTTGTTACGAGGGTGTGGCCTTGGGATTCTAGCCAGGAACGGAGGCCGAGTTCGTTTTCTGTTGTTCCGAGGAGGTCGGGGACCTGAGGCGGAAGTCAGGATGTGTTTGGGTGAAGAGGGGGGAGGGGAGGAAAATTACCTGCTCGGCATGCTTGCCTCCATCGTATAGAACAGCGAGTACTTTGACCTTTTCACGTAGAGAGTGAGAAGTAGTTAGCAGTCGTGTCGTAGTGAATTGCTGTCTCGTCTTGTTGAGTAACACGGAGGAAGGACGAGGGAGGATATATGAACGAGAGAAATGTTGCGTAAGAAGGGGACGGGAGAAAGAACGGGTTAGAAGTACCATTTTGATAAACTTTGAACCTTTTTTGTTGAGGGTGATGTCGAAGTTGGGTTGATTTGAGAGGACGAGAATGAGGAAATGAGGGGTGTCTTATACTTTCCGTATGTATGTGTACGAAGGATGGTAGGACGGAACGGTTGTATTGTATATATGATATGCAGGTAAAGTTGTCCTCGGATATTCCTTGAAACACCGAGAGAGACAAGAAGATGAACTTGACAAGATATGAAGAAGAGAGAGACTAAAAGAATTGCTTCTGGGTGAGAGACCTCCTATTTATCTTCACCACAAACAGGTTTCGTTTTCGTTTCCCCTCCTTCAAAGTTCATTGTCCCATTTGCCTCCCCTCCCACACAGCCATCCACCTTTCATCAACGATCCTCGTCCCTCGTCTCTCGTCCCTCGTCTCTCGTCCCTTTCCCCTCACCTTGGTTGCATATGTAACACCCAATTGGTCAATTGAGACATACACTAAAATCAGTTACACAACCATCATTGAATCAATTTAACCCGAGAACACTACACTACCATTTCTCCAACGGCTTTTTTCACCATGGGTGATGATCATCCGCCATGCATGACGGGTCACAATTTCCCCTCATCAATTCATCATCGAGATCCCCATGTGTGTCCCGTCATCGTAGGTAGAACAAAAACCGGCTCATTAAAAAATCCCCCCTCATCACACCGAAAATCCGGTAGTTACTTTGGTTGGTTGGCTGCAATGGCAAACGAACGGTTGGTGTGTGACCGTCCGTGTGTAAGTGCAGGTGTTGTATCCGTCGGACGACATTCGGTATTCGGTATCTTTTGTTTGTTCCCTTCCCATTTCCCGGTTCAAATCCCCCCGCATTCGTTCTCCCTATTCCGGTCCCTACCCCGCAAAAAATATTCCCGTCTGCCATTTCCTTTTTGCTGGATGTGCATGTCTCGTGTGTCGGCCGTGTGTTGGTTGGTCCGTCCGCAAAAAAAGGGAAGCAGAGTAAGAGAAAAAAAAAAAGAAAAAAAATAAATGCAGGCAGTGGGGTTCGAACCCACGCATCTCTCGATAATGGTGAAAAGTTGTTAAAGTAGTATGAACAAACATACTCTTTTTTGAGAACTTAAAACCATCGCCTTAAACCACTCGGCCATGCCTGCTGTGAACAAGGTTGAAATTTGATTCCCAAAACAAAACTTATGTTTACCTTTCCGAACACACAACAACACAAAAACAATTCAACAACATTTATTTCATAACACTTTTGGACAAAATCAATAGACTGATGTTTTCTTTTTCTTGGATACAATCAAATCTATTAAATTCAAATAAAAGTAGAGATTATCTAGAAGAATGCATATCCCTCTTCGTTTCTAATGCATACACACAAAACTCCTCGCCAAACCCAAGTGTATATCCATCAATGCAAACATCATGTTATGTCCCAACTAAAACCACTTCGTCTCTACCGTGTCCAATACCTTGGCTACTCTTGAGGTATGCGATCCTCGCGTTTGACAGAAATTCCTTCCCCTCAACTCCAACCACCAGGTCCACCAGGTCCAACGCTATAAGGTGGAGGAGGCGGAAGCGGTGCAGACGCCGCTGCTCCCCCTGCTCGTCCCGACGCCGAAGACGCCGTCGCCACCACCGAAGAACCCGAACCAGCTCCGTCTCCCCCTGTCGAAGACATCCAAACAGCAGCCTTGGCCATCATACTCGGGAAATATTGTTGAACAAACGACTCCCTACATGCACATCAAAATTAGCTTCCGTACCCTTCCAAAACCCTACCGAAAAGAAGACTTACGTATAGTAACTATGCTCTGAACTATGCGGCTGCACAATATTATGAGCCAACTCGTGGGCCAAAACAACCCACCACCAAGTAGTCGCCTCCGTTCTTCCCTTTCCACTCCCAATATTCTCCGATCCGTAATGTAATTGATTAAAAAACCTCAGGTTACAAAATATGCTCCCACTGCTGTTGAATGCAATCGTGCTTCCCTTTTCATTGTAGAAAATATGCACAGACCTGACAGGCAGCTTGTACACATCCCCTACATCCCTCAGGATTCCCTCAAAAGCCTTGATCGTATCAATGTTGGCCGACAAAAAGGTAGGCACATCAGTCGACAAACTCTTATCAACAAACACACGCATACCCTGCGGTGCCTCGGCCGCAAAAGTGATGTTCTGCGCCGGAGTCTGGTCGCAGTAGGTAGCCTTTTCCTTGACATCCTGCTGAGTAGGCGGAGAGAACAAAGTAGTCGAGTCGTGCGCGCGCGTTGATTGAATGGCATTGAGCAAATTCTGCTGAACCACAGCAGGCGAGGTAACTCTGCCTTCATCCTTGGGCTTTTGGTTTTGTTCCCCTCCTGCGGGAGGAAGGGCTTCAGGGACAAAGTCATTCAACTTCTTTCGACATTCAGAATCATCATCATTCGCGTCCAATCCAAACCGGCGAGTCAAGTCTGCAAAGAAACCTTTGCTCTTGTGCTTCTGCTGCTGCGGCGGTGGAAGTGCGTGGTGATCATCTTCAGGGGAATCTCCGAAGCTGCCCGGCATGCGGGTGCGAGTTGGCTCAGGTGTCTTAGCTTCCTGTTGCTGCTGCTCCTCCCACTCCTTCTTGCGCTCACGGATCTGTTTTTGCTCCGCTTCCAACGCTTTGCGCCGTTCCTCTTCTGCAATTCTGGCTTCGGCAGCCTTGACACGCAGAATACGATCAACATTGTATCCGCGATCTCGAAGCTGTAACAAACCAAGCTTCAAGAATGGTTCAAAGAAGAAATAAGCCTGCTGGCCGGGACGGTTCAGCAAAAGTTGACAGATAGCCTGTCCGACTTGGTACATATCCGGCTTATCTCCACCGGCCACGTAGAGAATCCAGTTGTTTCCGGCCTGCGCACTAGCTGCCGAACGTTTTTCATTGTGCGTCTTGCTGTGATTGTAAAGTGACCGACGCAGACTAACCGAATTCACAGCCATGACCTGCAAGTTCTTCTCCAACCACCGGGTATCTCGCTTGATCGCATCCCGCTTAACTCTGGAATACTCGTGCAAGAATATCTTGGACCGTTCGAGCACATGCTTTCGTAGCCATTCGGCACCGTCCTGTCTCGGCATCAGAGGACCAGGAATAACCCTCTCTGTAACTATGCTGCCCAGTGTTTGTGACCCGAGAGCCATGTAGAACTCCTCCAGAGAGTCTTCCTCAGGTGCGCAGAGCAATGAGTCTTTGAATAGTCGGAAGCTGATGTAATCATCGAGAATAACAATTTCTCTAGGGGCGGCAAGCTGGTAATGTTTGATAGGTGCCTCTTCTTCCTCGTAGAGATCTGACTCTTTGCCCTTCCCAGAAGACAGCTCTCGAGCAGCCAGCAGCCAAGCTGAAGTCTTCATCTTCTTGTACAAGTCACTGTCTCTCTTGAGTGTCGGTAGGTCCTCGGCCAGAGTCCTAAGTAGAGCTAGATACTTATCTGGGCTCTGCAAAATACTCAGGAGCCTCGCTGGCTCGCTGCAGGCTAGCATTGCGATCTCATGCTTGGTTGGCTCTAATTTGGCGCCGCACTTGAACAGAAAAGTGTTGGCATTGGTACCAAAGTCAACAAAGTCAAATATCTCGCCGTATGTTGTGGAACTGCCCAGGTACACCTGCTGAGGTTTGGCAAAATCAAGGCTTCCCTCTGATTTCCCACCAAGAGATTGATCTCGTTTCCTCGTCACAGGGACAATAGGTGCAGCCTTTAGACGATTGATCAGACTAGTACCAAGGTCGGTCAACCGCGTGCTGAAATAGTCAAACAGGGTGATAGCCATGCTACGTTCCCGCGGAGGGTTTGCAAGCAGCTTCTCTACGCATCCCAAGATCAGAGGATCGCGCGCGACACCAAACTTGCTCGCATGCACATGCAAGTCCCGACGAAGAATGTTATACCCAAGCACAGCCGCGCCTTCATTGCTGTAGCATGCCGACGGAGGGACCAGTTGCTTTTCATTCCCTTCAATGGGTAGGATAGCTCTGGTGGTGTGCCGAAGGTCAAAGGACGTATAGTTGTTGAGGTGGTGGTTAGAAATGAAATAAGTCATGGCGCTCGTCCGGAGACTGAAGTCCGATGATGCCATCATTTCAACAAGCTCTGGTACGGACGGGTACGGCCTCAGTCCAAGGGAGGACAGAAACGCGCCCTCTTTGCTGTTGATTCTGAAGCTGCCCGGAGGGCCGGGCCACTGGAGAATGGGCAAGCTGAGTGTTCTGAGAGAGTCTTTTGGTTCAAAGAGCTCCGACACCTTGTAAAGTTTCGTGGTACCCTTGGTTGGCTCCATTCCCTTTGGCCCGTCCTCGGCCGGACAGAGCGGCGAATCCTTGAGCTTCTTCATATCTGCAAGAGGGATGTCCTCACTAACTGAGGCAAGGTATTTGATAAGTTCCATGTGACTCCATTTGGCATGTGTGGCACCGCCAGAGGAAGGAGTAGGACTCAGGAGCCGAGTGAAGATGGTATCAAGGTCGACCGTCTTTCTCACGCCCAAAGCCGTCAGGAACTTCTCCTTGATGTTGGCACAGCCCTCCAAAATTGGAAGGTCGTCAAAGAGCTTGACAGTGGGGAAGAAGGATTCGCCTGGCTTCTTCAACCCCATCTTGGTCGGCATGACGGTAATATGTTTGAGCGCTGACACGACCGACGATTTGGACGATTCACTCAAATTGTCCCAGTTCTTTGAAAGGACTGCAAGAACTTGTAACGCAAACTTTGGTGACTTGGTAATGTTAAAGTCGTCGCCTTTGTTGGGCCCAGACTCGATCAGAAACCTGAGCCAGGGCACAATGCCTAGTGCAGTCCACCCCAGCGCCGTGAGTCGTACCTCGGGGATACCAGCCGCGAGTGCATGCGGCAAAGTGTCTGGGGGCACCGGGAAAGTCGCAGGAATCTTGTTGTTGTGGTAGTATTTGATGGAACCCAGAGCAATAATGTCGCCGGATTCTCCGCCCTCGCTGATAGTAGCAACGGTGACGTCCAAAAGTCGCTTGATGTCTGGGCGATCAAGCTCTGCATTGGCAGCTTGGGCAGACGTCCATTGGATGAAGCTCCGAAGTTGATCTTTGTCAAGCGCCTTGGCCGAGAGCTCTGAGCAAATGTCATCAACAGTGATGTCCCTGATTAGATCGAAGTCAATGAGTTTCCTGATAAAAGGATCATCCTTCATCTCGTTCAGAACCACAGGAATACCCGCCACGAATTTGCCCACCTCTTCGGATGATAGGCGGACCTTGCCCGTTGGCAATACACCACCTGACGAGTACACCTCGATGGATGGACGCTTCCATGAGGTCCAAAACGCTTCCTCGATATAGCCCGAGACCTTTGAGCTCGGTGTCGAGTCCTGAAAGGTGTACGTTTTGAGGATATGCAAAGCTTCAGGGATGTACTTTTGCACAGCCGCCGCTGAGATGCTTAAACCCTTCTTGAGATTATGTTCCGATGACAAACGTTTGACCTTTTCATCCAGGTCTGCCATCTCGTTGATGAAGGCCAAGCGTGACATGATGCCGGCAACGCGAAGCATTTCAATATTCCAAGTACGCACCCATCGAGCATTCAGATCGATAGCCTCACGCTCAACAGTTGGAATAACCGAAGGCGCCGAGATATGCATACCCGCACCGGTAGTCTGCGTGGTGGGAAAACCAATGAAAATGCGACCACCCGGTTTCTTGCTAGGGAGGACAGATGCAAATATATCAGCTACCTTGGCGGCCTGGGACGAAGATGATGCTTCAGAAGCCACCGTCTCATCATAGGACGAGGTAAGAATTGCAATCTTTGTGACCTTTGGTGGTGGTTTCTTTGTAGCACGCTCTAGTTCTACTGCAAAGGAGGACGTTATTTTTGTAGCTATTTGAGCGGATGTGACCCGAAGGAAGATACTGGACGTTGAGGTTGCAGTGAGGTCCTCTGAGATGGCATCTTGGATGGCCTTTTCTTCCTTGACAGCTTTGCCCAAAAGACCTGAACTTGCCGATGCCGATGTGAGCCTGGAGAAGAAAGTCCTGAGAGAGGGGGCCTCGGAGGCCTCGGTCGTCCTGGAGCCAGATGTTGCCTTGGGCTTCCAACCAATGACATTCATAAAGGTACCATCTATCTGGGTGCTGGTTCGG